TGTTAAAAAAAAACCCAACCCAAAATGATTAAAATAATTAGGTTAGATTTAAGTGAAGTTACAATTTTATGGATAACAAAATTAACTTTAAAATTTTTTGAATTGAATTACTTTAGAATTGATTAAAAAAAAAAATTCATATTTTTAAATTATTTTGTAAAAATGATTAGAAATTCGGCAAATAATAAAACAACGTCGTTTTCAAGGAGATGGCGACAGCTACTGAGTTGTGGAGATGACAGAGACACGTGGGAGGAGGTTGGAGATATATTGAAAAAAGTAGGTTAAAATTAAAATACCTTTCGAATCCATTCTCATTTTTTTTAAAATATATATATATATATATATATATATATATATAGAGGTCTCTGTGTCATTCATTTTCGATTTTTTTTTCTTGTTTTTTTTCAAAGGAATATGTAAGGTAAAATAGGCCACGTTGCTTTAATCTTATTCACACGCAAACCCTGTCTATTTTCTTCAAAAATTATTTTTACACACACACACACATATATATATATATATTATATTATATATTGACTTATTGAATATAAAAGTAAACTTTATTTATGGATCATGGAAAGCAAATGCATGCTGCACATGAAAATCAAATTGCTTTCGCTTTATGTGGAAACATAAAGTTAACACCTTCCACTTTATGCTCCCTTTTTTTTCCTTAAATTTTTAATTAATCTTTCATATAAATATATATGTGTGTGTATAATGTATACATTTCTGTGAATTCTAAGTCTTCAAAGACACATCAAACAAGTTTATAAAACTATCACTGTATGAATACCTCACTTCATCGTACGAGGGTTCACACATTCTTCTCTCTATAAAGATTATGAGTCAGGAATTCCAGTACTAATATATCATTCATATTTCATTCCCAGCAACAAAATCATACAGACAGAAACTACAATGTCTTTGGAGATAATATATTCATATTTTTCTCATCTCAAATAGCAGCCCACAAACCCAGGTTGCTTGCTCTACATAGAGACTAGCCAGCAGGCCAGGATTCAAAAAAACTAAAACCCACAAGCCTGCACCCTGCAACTTCATGTAGATACTTGTAATATATTTATTATAGCTTAACCACATATATATATATATATATGTATGTGTATATATGAGATTTCCATAGCTTCACTTCGTCTAGCTCATCCACTTCCCAAAACTTCACACAAACTACAAACACCCATATTTCTTACATGACTGTACAAGGGGGGTCCTGGGAAGATAAATGGATTGGCAAAAAAAATAACCACATCATCTCCCAGAGGAAACCAAGGGTTTCTCCTCTGACTTTAGGGCTCGTTTCAGGTCTGTCATAGGAAGAGGGAGACTGGAGTTTGAATGTGATGGAGATGTTTCTGGTACTATCTGTTTTTGTGCAGGGATAATCTCCGGTTGGACTGGTTTTGGTGTGTAGTTGAAGGAAAGCTCTCTGTTTGCAGCCAGTGCCAGCAGCTCTTTCTCTTCCAGGCCCTTTGTTGGCCCAAGGCTGCACCTGTCCGGAGTGTGCTTGGCAAGTGCATCCTTGAATTTCTTTATCTGTCATGCGTACAATCATGATTTTAAATTGAAATAAGAACCAGTCCATGAAAAATTATAGTAATAATGAATCATCGAATGTTCAATCGAATGCTTCCAAGAGAATGTCCTAATCAATGCAAAGCAAATGTGCAAACCCAATCCTGATTTCCAAATCTATCATTCTCAAGGTTTTAACTCAGATCTATAGGAGACATATTGAACTGCTGAAGCAAGAAACAAGTAGTTGCAAGACAAATAAAGTAAATGGGGATTTTCACATAAACACATGCTTCATATATTCTCAAGGTTTTAATTCATGGAAGAAAAAGATCATATGAAGAGTTAAGAGCTCGTGAAAATTAACCGTGGCATTGGTACAGCTGAAGCTACATAAGCGACCATGGGCGCCTCTATAAAATCGGAAGAAAGGAAGCACGTGAACACCAAGGCTATAGCACATCGATTTATGCTCCTCATAATTCACTTGAAGAAAGAGCACTTCTGGGTTCATCTCTGCAAATTGAGATATCTGCCACATACAAACACCATAACCCGAATTACTCCAAAGAAAAACTGAAACCAATAGATCAATTAACCAAAGACACACAAACATACATACATATGGACACAAATAACGTATAGATGAGTTATGTATGTGTGTATCTATATGAAGGAATTGTTTACTGTTATTATACCTTGGGATGAAGAGCTTTGCAGCCACCACAACCAGGGGAGAAGAAATCAACAACGACAAGTTTGTCCCCAGCATTCAAAAGGGAATCAACAAGGTCCTGTGCAGATTTCACCTCTTTCATGTTTGCTTGTAACCCCTTTTGCCACCATTTTTGAGAGTTCCCAATTCCAAGTCTAGTCTGTGAAATTCCATCCCAATTAAAGGAAAAATTAATCAAAATTTTTTATCATTTATAAATTAGAATGATTATTTAAAAAAAAAAAAACAAATAATGGATCTTCAAAATTTTTGAGAACCCTTTAAATTCTTCTGTCGATTGTACATGGAAATCCAAACCATAAATTAAAAAAAAAAAAAAACCTAGAAAGCAATTTAGTTTCCATGTTATACTGTTCTTGCATATGCAACAAGCTAAGAGGTAGCTCAAATTCAAAGCCTACTCTTAATCAGAAAAGCGATCAAGCAAGAAAATATCCACTAAAAGGCCAAGCTCGGAAGATAACAATTAATCGATCATCAATCATCACAATTAGAAGGAAAGAAAAAAAAAAGAAAAGTAATAAAGATTTTAAGATCCATAGAAGATTGAACAACAAATAAAATTTACAGTCAGCAAAACCCCCGATGTTTGACCTACACCCACAAATTGATTAATCAGCGATTGGAAATAGTACCAACCTGTGCTTTAATCGAGAATTGAGATTTCTCTCTCCTGGACATGCCTGTGTTATTATTACTATCATTATCTCCGGAAACGATTCTTTCTCCATGGAAATCACCGCTCAGTGTCTGGGATTTCAATTTCGTTGAAGGGAAGCTCTTACAACGAAAATAAACACGGCCTTTTGGGAAAACATGAAGGCTACTGCGTTGATTTTGATGATTATGATGAAGCTTATCATGGTTACAAGCTGAAAACAAACTTGTTTGGCTCAACGCATCTGCCATGTTTCCCCTCACAGAAATGGATCCGCTTCACAGAAACAAAGAAAAAGAAAACTTTCAACAACTCCCACAAAACTCAGAAATGGAAGAAGACAACCAAGACGAAAAAAGAAAAAAAAGAAATAGATAACAAGTTCGTAGGTTCAGAGCTTTTCTCGCTTTTTCCCTCTCTGCAAAATCGTCTGACCCGACTGGCCTTCTTTCTTGCCATGAAAAAAACTGGAATATTTAAAATAATAATAATAATAATGGTGAATGGTTTTGTTATGGACCGTTGGATTTTCTGACACGGGTAGAATCGGACGGCTGAGGAATTATCAGATGAATCGGAGTGACGTAGAGTGAAAAATGGATAAGGTTTTTGTGGATTTTAAATTTTAATTACGAACATTTTCTATTTATTACCGGATAGATTTTTTTCCCCCTTTTTCCTTTTCTGGAATTTTCTTTTTTGGATTTTAATCTGCTTGCCGTTGATTTTTGTGATTGGGTGTGAATCTAACGGTCAGGAGTGATTTTTGTGTCTGGATAAGCTTTTTTTAGTCAGTAATTTATTTATTTGTAATTTTATTTTTTTACGGTGGTGAATGAAAAGTCGACGGGACACGTGGCAGCAGCAAATCTTGATTTTTTGCAAAAGGACGATACAAGTTTTGGATAAAGGATAAAAGGTAGGTCCCACCCCCCACCACCTCATTCTCAGAGTTTAAACTTTATTTTGAATTTTATTAAAGTCGTATAATTTTTTAATTTATAAATACAGTATAAATTAATTATAACTAATTTAATTTGTAGAGTATAAATAATATACAAATAATATTTTATAATAATTAATTTTTTTTTTTAGTCGAACAAAATTTTCTTCTATATTTGTAACAGCCCCGGAAATATTAAAATGAAATTAGTATTTAAATATATCAAATGCGGAAGCGAGATCAAAATTTCAGTTAACATCCCTTACACGAAAACCAAAAACGTACTTAAATTATAAAAGGTTAAACTAACTAAAAGAGAAACTCGAAAACAAAGCTATGAGCATGACTACAGAGTCTCTAGGCATCCCCTTCGTCGTCCTCCTGCGGAACGGGCTCGGGAACCCTGTCTTCCTGATCTGAAATGGTTAAATAAGGAGTGAGCTACACTAGCCCAGTAAGAACATCACGATATCTCACCGTCACGGAGGTAAAGGTGGGTAGAAAACACAAAAAAACCAATGGAGCATAATTTACAACAAACTCGCTTATTAACATAAAAACTTTTTCCATCCACTTACCTCGGTGGAATTTATGAAAACAATATAAGAAAAATAATAACATTATCATAATCATGGAATAATATAAGCTGTAAAACATAACACTTATCACGCCTCTTGTAATTCAATCATTGTACGACATATCTTTTTCTCATTTACCAGCCTACTAGTATCCGTGGGGGTCCATAGGGGTCCCGCTACCCGTTAACCTTTAACATTCATAATCAGTTTCCAGGGCCGTCCCCATACCCCGTCCGGTATGGGCGCCAAAACCATAAACCTCAATACCACGTCTGGTATGAGGGTGAAACGGGCCGTCCCCATACCCCGTCCGGTATGGGCGCCAAAACCATAAGATCTCCATACCCCGTCCGGCATGTGAGACCACAATCCTGGTAGGGTTCCCTACGGACCCGGTCCGTCCACCATCTCCCAGG